TGGGATGGGCAGTGCTCCAATTCGTTATTAGAGCAGAGACAAACCTGGGCTTAAGGCACTATCTAATGCTGAAAAGCAGGCAGTGACCTAATGGGAAAAGAAAGAAATTCAACAGGTAAATTATAACGAATCTCTAAGCAAATATTCCAATAAAAAACAAAAGAAGCCAGACAGAGAAGACTAAAATAACAAATTCTCCAGTGCAAACACATAGACATACATTCATACGTGACAGCAGCAAACAGGGAACCATGACTTCCCCAAACAAATGAAGCAAGGAACCAGTGACTAACCCTAACAAGATGGTGATATGTGAGCTCTCTGAACAAGAATTCAAAATAGCAGTTTTAAGGAAACTCAGTGATTTTCAAAATAACACAAAAAAGCAACTCAAGAATTTATCAGAGAAATTTCATGAAGAGACTGAAATAATAATAAAAACAAACAGAAATCTTCAAACTGAGAAATATATTTGAGGAACTGAAAAACTCATTAGAGGCTGTCAGTAGGAGAATGAATCAAGCAAAAGTAAGAATAAATGAGCTCAAAAACAGGCAATTTGAAAATACACAGAGAAAAAAAGAATAAAAAGGAACAAAGATTGTCAACAAGATAAAGAAAATTACCTCAAAAGACAAAGTCTAAGAATCACTGGTATTCAAGAGGGAGTTAAATAAGAGCAAGGAGTAGAAAGTTTATTCAAAAAAATAACAGAAAACTTTCCAAAACTTGAGAAAGAAATAAACATCCAGGTACAGGAATGTCAGAGAACAACAAACAGATCTGACCCAAATAAGACTTCCCCCAAGGCGTGTGATAATCACATTCTCAAAGATCAAGGACAAAGAGGATCCTAAAAGCAGCAAAAGAAAAGAAGCAAATAACGTATAAGCTCCAATTCATCTGGCAACAGACTTATCAATGGAAACCAAACAGGTCAGAAGGGAGTGGAACAAAATTTTCAAAGTGCTAAAAGAAAAAACTTTCCAAGAATACTGTATCCAGCAAAGCTGCCCTTCACCTATGAAGGAAAAATAAAGGCTTTCTCAGACAAACAAAAGCTGAGAGAATTTACCATCACCAGACCCATCTTAAAAGAAATACTAAAGGAGGTTCTTCAATTTGAAAAAAAAACAAAAACAAAAAAAAACAAAAACAAACAAACAAACAAACAAAAAACACTAACATGCAAATAGAAAACATTTGAAGGTATAAAACCCACTAGTAAAATTAAGCATATAGACATACCCAGAATACTCTAATACTGTAATTGTGGTGTGCAATCCACTCATAACTCTAGTATGAAGCCCAAAAGACAAATCTACAAAAAACAAAAACACATACAGCAACCTGCTAAGAAACAGGCAGTATAAATATATACAAATTGAGGTAACAAAAAAATCAATATGTAGGGCAGATGGAGTTAAAACACAGAGGTTTTTTTAGTTTATTGTTTCTATTCCTTTCTGTGATCTAAGATAAGTTATCTCTTTAAAAATAACTTGTTATATCTACAAGATGTTTTTGCAAGCTTTGTGATGACCACAATGCAAAAACCTATAATAGATACACTAAAAATAAAAAGCAACAAATTAAAACATATTACCTGAGAAAATCACTTAACCACAAAGGAAGATGGAAAAAAGAAAAGAAGGATTGAAGGAAGGAAGGAAGGAAGGAAGGAAGGAAGGAAGGAAGGAAGGAAGGAAGGAGGGAGGGAAGGAAGGAAGGAAGGAAGCTGGTTACCAAACAATGAGAAAACAAGCAGAAAAATGGCAGTAGTAAGTCCTTACTTATCAATGATAACACTGCATGTAAATGAACTTAATGCTCTAATTAAAAGATATATAGAGCTGAATGGATAAGGAAACAAGACTCAGCTATATGCTGCCTACAAGAAACCAGTATCACCTATACAGACACACATAGAATGAAAGAGATGGAAAAAGATATTCCATGCAAGTGAAAACCAATAGATAGTAGGATTACCTATTCTTATACAAGACAAAACAGACTACAAGTTAGAGACAAAGAAGATCATTATATAATGATAAAGGCAATTATAAATATCTATGCACTCAACACCAGAGCACCCAAAAATATAAAGCAGACATTAATATAGCTAAAGCAAGAGATAGACCACAATACAATAGTAGAAGGGGACCTCAGCTTCCCGCTGTCAGTAATGGACAGATCATCTAGATAGAAAATCAGCAAAGGAACACCGGAGTTAAATTGTATACTAGACAAAACAAGACTAACTCACATTTACAGAATATTTCACCCAACTGCTGCAGAATACATTTTCTTTTCATTGGTATACAGAACATTCTTTAGAAAAGACTGTATCTTAGGCCATAAATCAAGTCCCAGCACATTCAAAAAAGTAGAAATCATATCAACTATTTTTTCCTGACCACAATGAAATAAATTAGAAATCAATAACAATAGGAACCCTGGGAACTACATAAACACATGGAAATTAAATAACATGTTCCTCAACAACTGAAGTCAATGAAGAAATTAAGGAGAATTTTAAATTTCTTGAAACAAATGGAAATGGAAATATAACATATCAAAATCTATGGGATACAGCAAAAGCAATGGTAAGAGGGAAGTTTATAGCAATAAACACCTACATCAAAAAAGCAGAAAGACTTAAGAGCACCTTAAGAGATTAGAAAAACAAGAACAAACCAAACCCAAAATTAGTAGGAGAAAAGAAATAATAAACGTAAGAGCAGAAATAAATAAAATTGAGACTAAAAAAAGTACAAAAGATCAATGAAACAAAAACTCGAATTTTTGAAAAGATAAGCAAAATTGACAAATCCTTAGCTGGACTAAGAAGAAAAGAGAATACTCAAATAAAACCAGAAATGAAAAAAGCAACATAAAAACTGAGACCACAGAAATACAAAAAAAAAAAAAAAAAAAAAAAAAAAATCATTAGAGACTATTATGAACAATTATGCACCAACAAATTGGAAACCAAGAAGAAATGAATAAATTATCTGGTACATAAAACCTACCAAGACTAAACCACAAAGAGACAGAAAACCTCAACCAATCAATAACAAGTAACTAAATCAAAGTCATAATAAGAAGCCTCCCATTAAAGAAAAGTCCAGGACCAGATGGTTTCACTGCTGATTTCTATGAAACATTTAAAGAAGAACTAATAACTAGTCAGGCAAGGTGGTGTGTGCCTGAAGTCTCAGTTACTCAGGAGGTTGCTGAGGTGGGAGGATCTAAGCCCCAGAAGTCAAGGTAGCAGTGAGCCAAGATTGCAGCACTGCACTCCAGCCTGGGTAATGAGAGTGAAACCCTGACTCAAAATAAATAAATAAATAAATAAATAAATTCTCCTAAAGCCTTGAAAAAAAATTGAAGACCATGGAATACTTCCAAACTCATTCTATGAGGCCAGCACTACCCTGATACTAAAACCAGGCAAGAAAACTATAGGCCAATATCACTGATGAACATATATGAAAAAATTCTTCTTTTTTTTTTGAGACAGAGTCTAGCCCTGTTGCCCAGGCTGGAGGGCAGTCGTGTGATCTTGGCTCACCACAATCTGCACCTCCTGGGTTCAAGCTAGTCTTCTGCCTCAGCCTCCAGAGTAACTGGGATTACAGGCATGTGCCACCACGCCTAGCTATCTTTTCGTATTTTCAGTAGAGATGGGGTTTCACCATGTTGGCCAGGCTGGTCTTGAACTCCTGACCTCAAGTGATTCACCCACCTTGGCCTCCCAAAGTGCTGGGATTACAGGCATGAGCCACCACGCCCAACCAGTAGATGCAAAAATTCTTAACCAAATACTAGCAAAATGAATTCACCAACATATTAAAAAAATCGTTTGCCATGATCAAGTGAAATTCCTCTCAGGGATGCAAGGATGGTTTGATATATACAAATCTATAAATGTGATATATGACTTTAACAGAACCAAGAACAAAAACCATGTGATCATTTTAGTAGATGCTGAAAAAAGTATATGATAAAATCCAACATCTCTTTAAGATAAAAATCCTCAACAAACTAGATACAGAAGGAACATACTTCAAAATAATAATGGCCATACATGACAAACCCACAACCAACATCATACTGAATTGGGAAAAATTGAAAGCCTTTCCTCTAAGATCTGGAACATGATAAGGATGCCCACTTTCACCGCTGTTACTAAACATGGTATTGGAAGTCCTGGCCAGAGAAAGTAGGCAAGAGAAAGAAATAAAGGGCATCCAAACTGGAAAGGAAAAAGTGAGATTAGCCTTGTTCACAGAGGACATGATTGCAAGTTGCAGGATATAAAATCAACATGTAAAAATCAGCAGCATTTCTATATGCCAACAGCAAACAATCTGAAAAAGAAATCAGGAAAACAATCTCATTTACAATAACTACAAAGAACATAAAATACCTAGGAATCAATTTCCCCAGAGAAGTGAAATATTTATATAAGAAAAACTATTAATACACTGATGAAATAAATTGAAGAGGACACCAAAGAATGCAAAGATATTCCATGCTCATGGATTAGAATTAATATTATTCAAGTGACAACACCACCCAAAGCAAATTACAGATTCAATATAATCCCTATCAAAATATCAATGATATTCTTCACAGAAACAGAAATTTAAAAAATCCTAAACTTTATATGGAACCACAAATCTTGAATAGCCAAAGCAATCCCGAGCAAAAAACAAAGCTGACTTCACTACCTGATTTCAAAACATACTACAAAACTATAGTAACCAAATCAGCACAGTACTGGCATAAAAATAGTCATATAGACCAATGGAACAGAATAGAGAAGCCATTGGGAGGCCCAGGTGGGAGAATCACTTGAAGCCTGGAGTTTGAGACCAGCAACACAGTGAGACCCCATCTCTTAAAAAAAGAGAACTAGAGAGAACCCAGATATAAAGTCATGCATTTATAGTCAACTTATTTTTTTCCAGTTTTCTTTTATTGTGATAAAATATCCATAACATAAAATTTGCCATGTTAAGCATTTTAAGTGTATAATTCATTTACATTAAGTATGTCTACAATTTTGTGCAACCATCAACACTATCTATTTGTAGGACATCTTTGATTAGATACATTTTTTACAATCTATGTTATTTTAAGAAAAGTGGCAATTCTCTAGTAGTCATTTATTCCCACTCGTGGAATTAATTTTGTAGGAATTTTAAAGATGAACTAATCCAATAAAGTTAGGATAATCTGGAAAAGCTCTATATGTAATCAAGCTAAATCTATTTCAGTTTCTAATTTTGATTACAAATTAAGCTCTTTTAATCGAACTCTACTTGATCAACTTACTGGACTGATTAGTAAAGACTCTACTTCTGTAGAACACTCTGATTAATGTTCACATATTATGTATGCTGCCTCTGGCAGAGTACTCTAGAATGAAGCCCACACTTTTGTTTCCATCAGTTAAGTTTTAGCTTTACCAAGCATCAGGTGTGTTTATTCCCAAACCATTTATGCTAACTGTATCTTTTACTGTAATTATGAGATGTAATTAAATATTACATACACCAGTGAATTTATGAATACAAGAAAGTTTTTGTCTTTATGAAGTTAATTTGAATGTTCTGAAAGAATTCAATAAAACATTGCTAAAAATATCTGTTGTCAAATTCAGCCTGGAGCTAGGTGCCATGGCATGCCCCTAATCCCAGCGACTTGGGAGACTGAGGTGGGAGAATTGCTTGAGCCTAGGAGTTCCAGACCATTCTGGGCAACATAGTGAGACCCCATCATGAAACTTTGACGCTTCAGGATCATTCACATTGATAGCAATTAATTTCCAATCTGTTTCACCTTCCTCAATAAGAGCCAAGATTCCGAGGATCTTCACATGAAAAACTTCTCCACAAGAATGAATCTTTGAGCCTATTTCACAAACATCAATAGGATCATTATCTCCAAAGCAGTTCGTGCTCTTATCTTTTTCATGGGGATCTTCCCAAGTCTGAGGGAGGGTACCATAATTCCATACATAAGCCTTGTAAGGGAAGATATTCGCCACATAGCGTAGTTTTCCATCCTTTACACATTGTTTAATGGGATTCAGTGGCTCTTTGGTGGCAATCTCCATTTTAGCATTTGTCCACCGAGGTATTTCTACAATCACATTAAACAGAGTCTCATATTCATCATTTCGTGCTTTCTTCGTAGGAATGCCATTTTCCTCTTTAGAGTTCACTTTCAGAGGAATATCATGAAAGGGGGAAATGGAGTGACCAGTTACATTCTTGAAGAAGAGGTGATAATTCTGCGAGCAGGGCTGCCCACGCTCCTCGGTGTGGTACAGGGCCATAACACAGCGCAGCCCGATCCCAGCACTGGTCTATAGTCAACTCATTTTAACAAAGGTGCCAAGAACATACAGTGGGGAAAGGACAGTTTCTTCAATAAATGATGCTGGGAAAACTGGTAATTATATATTAAAGAATGAATCTAGACCCCTATCTCTCATCATGCAAAAATCAAATAAAAATAGATTAAAGGCTCAAATCTAAGACCTGAAACTGGAAATTACTAAAATAAAACATTGGGGAAATACTCCAGGATATTGGTCTAGACAAAGATTTTTTGTATAAGACCTCAAAAGCATAGGCATCCAAAGCAAGAATAGACAAATAAGGTTACATCAAGCTAAAAACCTTATGCAGAATGAAGAAAACAATCAACAAAGAGACAACCCACAGAATGGGAGAAAATACTTATAAGCTATCCATCTGACAAGGGATATATAAGGAGACTATAACCAGAATATAATAAGGAGCTCAAACAACTCAACAGCAAAAATAAATAAATAAATAAATAAATAAATAATATGATTTTAAAATACATAAAAGATCTGAATAGACATTTCTCAAAAGAGACACACAAATGGCCAACAGGAAAATGCTCAACATCACTAACCATCAGAAAAATGCAAATCAAAACTATAATAAAATATCATCTCACTACAGTGTAAATGACTATTATAAAAAAGACAGGAAAGATTGAATGCTGGCAAGGATATGCAAAAAGCGGAACCCTTGTACACTGATGGTGGGAAAGTAAATGAGTACAGCCAGTATAGAAAACAGCACGGAGGTTCCTCAAAAAACTAAAAATAGGGCTGGGAGCAGTGGCTCACGCCTGTAATTCAAACACTTTGGGAGGCCGAGGCGGGTGGATCATGAGGTCAGGAGATCAAGACCATCCTGGCTAACATGGTGAAACCCCGTCTCTACTAAAAAAACAAGAAAAAAACACACACACACACACACACAAAAATTAGCCGGGTGTGGTGGTGGGCGCCTGTAGTCCCACCTACTCAGGAGGCTGAGGCAGGAGAATGGCGTGGAACCCAAGAGGCGGAGCTTGCAGTGAGCCGAGATCACGCCACTGCACTCCAGACTGGGCGACAGAGCAAGACTCTGTCTCAAAAAAAAAAAAAAAAAAAAACTAAAAACTAAAAGTAGGACTGCCATATAATCCAGCAATTTCACTGCTGGCTATAGATTCAAAAGAAAGAAAATCAATATATCAAAGAGATATCTGCACTGTCATATTTATTGCAGCACTATTCAGAATATTTACAATAGCCAAAATACAGAATCAACCTAAGTGGCCATCAATAGATGAATGGATGAAGAAAATCTGGCATATATACACAATGGAGTACTATTCAGCCACTAAAAAAGAATGAGATCCTGTCATTTGCAGCAACATAAATGGAACCAGAGGTCATTATGTTAAGTGAAATAAGCCAGGCATAAAAAGACAAATATCACATGTTCTCACTCATATGTGAGAGCTAGAAGAGTGGATATCATGAAGAGAGAGGGCACACTGGTGGTGACCAGAGGCCAGGAGGGGTAGCACGGAGGAAGAGATGAAGAGGTTGATTAATGGGTACAAACACACAGTCAGGTAGAGAAAATAAGAGCTGGTATTTGAAAGATCGGCAGGGTGACTACAGTTTACAATAATCTGTTGTACACTTCAGTATATCTAGAAAAAAATAATTAAAATGTTCCTAGCATAGAAATAAATATTTAAGGCACTGGATATCCCAATCAACTTGATTTGATCTTTACACATTATATGAATGTATCAAATTATCACATGTACTTTTAAAATATGTGTCAGTACAACTATTATGTAGCAATTTTTTAAAATGTAATAAGATGGGAGATGTTTTACCATTCACTCTGCCAGGGGAAAACATCTCCAGGAGTAAATGGGTGAATGACAGAACTTCCCAACAGGATAGTTTATTCACCCAAGTAAATAAGCCATCCCTCCCCTACAGACATTCCCACTCGTGGGATGAAATGCATGTGTCAGCATCGCTGGCCTCCTGGCTAGTCACAGCAAGGAGGGGCTCTAGCTGCATGGAAACCTAAGGCCTCAGAGCTTGGGTGCTGGAGATAAGTGGCCAGAAGCAAACAGGAACATCTCTCTATTATTCACTCAGACTCCCTCTAAACATGAGACCAGTGTTTCCTGAAACTGGGTGACATGAAGATGGCAGGGTTTTAGGAAAAATCCATCCATCCATCCATCCATGATCCATCATGTGCAATAGATACTCCCTCAGTCCTAATTATGCACTAGGGCAGTGTGCCAGGCCCTGGAGATACTGAAGGGAACCAGGTGGTCAAAAACGCACACCCTCAAGGAAATTGCACTCTAGAGGAGAAAAGAGATTTTTTTAAAAAATAAATAGAACACATACCAGCATAGATGATGATGAATACTGCAGAGGAAAACACATCAGGGAAGGAGGATACAGAAGGGTACAATGGCTGGGGCTGGGAGCAAGGGATTCTTTTCAACAGAGTGGTGAGGGAAAGTTTCACTGAGAAGGTGACCTGTGAACTAGGCCCTAAAGGAGGGGAAGGAGCAGGAGCAAGTATCATGGACACACAGGGGAAGAGCTCTGCAGAGGGAGGGGACAGCAAGTGCAGAAACGCCAAGGTGGGAGAGGTCCCGTTGCTCCCCTTGTAGGAGGGACAGTAAAGAGCCCAATTTGGGCAAACGGAGGTGGAGAAGTATGGAGAGAACTGAAATGGATGTGACAAAGGGCCAGCACACTGGCCTTGTCATTCATGTTGACACATTGGCCTTTTTCCTTTCTGGAGATGGGAAGATCTGGAGGCTTCCCAGGAGAGGACAAAACCTGATAATAACATCCATCCGCAAACCCTCTTCTGAGGAGCCTGACTCACGGGGTGGCTCTTGTTACACGTATGTCGGACATGCTCCTCTCCATAACTCATAATTAGGTGCATATGGGAAGCATTCCATTAGAAAATAGGGTCTGGCAAAACACGGGTCTGGGTCTACCTGATCCTCACAAATCACAAGGCACCGTAGGAGTCTGACCTCCAGAATGCGGCAGAAAGCAAGAATCCACAGACAACGCCAGAGTCTGATTTTCCAGCTACGAGAAAAATTGAAGTTGACAGCTGTTCTCTAGAGACCGATCTAAAAGAGGCAAAGTTCAGTAGCTGCTCAAAGTGTAACTTCCCTTTCAAGCAAGCCTCCAGAAACACAGAAAGTAAGCTAAAGCTTAACACTCATCACCAAAATTGAAACAGTAAATCCAAGTTAAGGTGTAAAGACAGCCAAAAACAATTGCCTTATTCTCTTGCATTCCATGGAAAAACACATTTCTTATATCTTCCCAATATACAGTAAGCGTTCAGTATTTACTGAAAGAATAAAGGAGTCTTTAAGCCTCCCCACCAGAGGCTGACTTTGTGAACAGGGCCAGCATTCCATGACCACGTTCTGGAAGCCTTCCATCCTAGCAGGCTCCTGATACGATATCATTCACCTTCCTCCTCCCAAAGAGTCACTCAGCAAGGAGTTCTAGATGACTGGAAGTTGAGGACAAGATGATAACACTAAACATCAAGCAGTTCAATTCACTGATTCCTTAGCAGTGCATTCAACCAATTAAGAGAAAGAACAAGAGCAACACCACCAAATGCAAAGGCCCTCCTCAGTGGCCCTCTGACGCTCTTCTTGATGGACATCACTGCACACCTGGGAGCCACCCCAGAGGACATTCCAATGGATGGCAAAGCCCACGGCCTTCCACATCTGGCATCAATTCCTTAGGCTTTGCCAACCATCCCTCCCAAACTGTGTTCTGGAAATAACCTTGAATACAAGAATTCCCACTGATAAACAGAGCCTGTCAATGGCAACATAGGAGCACCTTACAAGAAATTTTCACTTCATTTTTTTTGTTTCTTGCTTTTTTTGAGATGGAGTCTCGCTCTGTCGCCCAGGCTGGAGTGAGTGGCGCGATCTCGGCTCACTGCAAGCTCCGCCTCCCAGGTTCTCGCCATTCTCCTGCCTCAGCCTCCCAAGTAGCTGGGACTACAGGCGCCCGCCACCGCGCCCGGCTAGTTTTTTGTATTTTTAGTAGAGACGGGGTTTCACCGTGTTAGCCAGGATGGTCTCGATCTCCTGATCTCGTGATCCGCCCGTCTCGGCCTCCCAAAGTGCTGGGATTACAGGCGTGAGCCACCACGCCCGGCGATTTCATTTTATTAATGCTAAACTAGTGAAATATCACCAGTTACAAAAAAAAAGGTCAATAAGTTCCTTTTAAAACACTGCCATTTCTATTTTCAACATGTTCCTAATTCTCAGTCTGCGGCAGGAAAAATGGGTATCAGACATGGCTTTATCTTATAGCCTGTTCCCAGAATGCAGTAATTGGACCAGGAGAGGTATTAGTGCTATAACTCTATATAATCCTTTATTGTGGCTCACATAGGCTCCTTCAGACTATGTGCGACAAAACACATCCAACAAGTGAAATGGAAGTTGACCGCTGACCAATCAACTTACAATACACCTTTGAAGGTAAGTTCATAAATTAGAGTCTACCTATAATTCCTATTAAATAGTGTGACTGCCCTGCTCCTATCAGATTTCCAAATCTGTTCTATTACTCAATGCATTATTCAATAAATAACTATGGACATGAAACACTTTATTTCGACACTTGCATGGAAACGTGAGCTGAGAAGAAGATAACATTTTGACCACTGAGCATGCTGCCAGGCAGATCTTCTAGTGAGCACAGCTCTCAGATAACCAATTCCAAATGCAAGACGTCAGATATTTATGGCTAATATCATGAAATGTGACATTATTGAAAAGCAAGTTTTACCCAAGTGATGTTTTTTAACTTTAAAAATATAGAACACTTCATGAATTTCTGTGTCATCCTTGCGCAGGGACCATCCTAGTCTTCTCTGTATCATTCCAATTGTAGTCTATGTGCTCCCAAAGTCAGCATGCCCAGGTGCTTTATAGAAAAAAAAAAAAAAAAAAATGTGGCCAGGCACAGTGGCTCATGCCTGTAATCCCAGCACTTTGGGAGAGTGAGGCGGGTGGATTGCTTGAGGTCAGGAGTTCGAGGCCAGCCTGACCAACATGGTGAAACCCTGTCTCTATTAAAAATACATAAATTAGCCGAGCCTGGTGGCAGGCGCCTGTAATCCCAGCTACCTGGAAGGCTGAGGCAGGAGAATCACTTGAACCCAGAAGGCGGAGGTTGCAGTGAGCCAAGATTGCTCCACTGCACTCCAGCCTGGGAGAGACAGTGAGACTCTGTCTCAAAAAAACAAAACAAACCAAAAAAACAGAAAGAAAAAATGTGAACTTTATGGTATAAAAACAAAAAAAAAAT